AATGCTTAGTGTCTTAAAACTGCCACTTTATGTATGTATTTATTTGCTTGTATCAATGATTATTTCAAGTGGAAGGTAAATTCTACCCTCAGGATCACAATTTAGTCATAAACAAGAATCTAACTTGACTTTTCAACCACAGAAATTGGATCTTATCTACAATTTTAAACCTTTTAATGGGTCCCATTGCCCATAGGACAAAAACTTAAACTTCTTGACATGGCGTAAAAGAACCGTTATGACCTTCCCCTACATACCTGACTTCCTCTAGTCTTTTTTGGGCCTTCCACAATGCTCTCTCCAAATCCACCAGGCCTCTGTTGGCTGAAGGGTTTCTCATTTCCTCAGCCTGAAATATACTTTTTCCTTCTACCTGGCATCCAGTACAAGCTGAATTCCACTTATCCTTCAGATTGACAGTAAAATATGTCTCCAGAGAGAAACTGTCATCTGCACACTGGACTGCTCTCTACACCTCTGTTCCAGCCACATAGAATGAACTAAAGTTTTGCAGTCAAGAATGGAGTCCTTTTCACTGTCACATTGCCATACCCTTGCTAGTTCCTCTGCCTCAAACACTTCCCTACTCTGTTTGTTTAGATAGTTTCTATTTGCCCTTTAGCATTCCAGGCCTTATCACCTCTTCTTGAAAATTCTCTTCACAGCTTTTCCCATCCCTTCTCCAACTCTCCTCTCAGGTCTGATTAATCATCTCTCCTCATGCTCTCTCTCTCTCTCTCTCTCTCTCTCTCTCTCTTTCTCTCTCTCTCTCTCTTTTATTTTGAGAGGAGTTTATTGTACAGAGGAGTTACAATTACATGGGCAAGATAACGAGTACATTTCTTATCAAGCATTGTTGCCTCCTCCTTGTTTCCTCATGCTCTCCTGAGGTTACTGAATACCCTACCTATACCTATATCTGTAGAGGAGTCTTTTCAAGTCTATGGTAGAAATTTGTTTCTTGTCCTTTTCTCTAATTGGGGAAGAAATGGGCCTGCCTTGGTGTTGGTATATTTCCAACTCTATGCAGGCCGCTGTGCCTGTATCTAACTCTTTCTAGGGTGCTATTATCTATCTATCTATCTATCTATCTATCTATCTATCTATCTATCTATCTATCTATCTATTTTTGCTGGTCAATAGATGGCTGCATGGGGCTTTTGCTCCTGCTAAGATCTGGCATGAATGTATAAAAGACACGAGTACTTTACAGGGGGTGCTCTGCTCTTGGACAAGAGAGTTACATTAATCAAGTAGAACAAATCATATTGAATGCTATGGCCAGTGCAATTTAGTTTTAGTCAAGCTGCCTGACTTTGTCTGGAGATGAGAACATTGTTGAAATGTCTCCCAACACAAAGCTGGGGTCTACTGAAATAGGCAATCACTGCAGCGAACAATCCATTACTCGTACTGTCAACAGTGCTTTTCTCTCTAAATACAGAATGAAGTGGAAAATGCTGTGGGAACCTAGGAGCATTTAATTTATTGATGTGCCTCAGTAGGAGCCATTCTTTAACCTGGCTGAGGGCAATAGTGTGGGGACGAGCATTAAGGTTGTGAAGCACTAGGGGATCTGTTTAACCATCATGTATTCCACTCTCCCCATATGTAAAATGAAACTGATGGAAGAGAATGCTAGTCACACCATCATGGTTACTATGGTGATGGATGACTAGAACACAATGCTGTACTGCCCCCAGCCATGCCAATTTCTTTTGGTATTGCTTTGTTATTGGATAAAGGAGAGATGACTGGCAGAGCTCCATTTTCTTTTGGAATTGAGAACGTTTCTAGCGAGGCTTGGCAGGGAAAGGCCATTACGCTGGCTCTTTTGCATAGATAACGGCAAGGTACTGTGCCAGAAAGTTCACTCACCAGGAATAGCGGGACTGCTCAGCCTTTCATGAATGATAGACTTATAACCATGAGTAATTTAGTCCTATGCTCCAGGGGGCAAAAACAGCCAGCATCTTGGTATGCTTCTGACCAGTCTGTAATTACAACCATCACCTGGGACAAGTAATCCGCGACCTGATAATAGCTGCAGATAACTTGTATAACACAGACAACTGTACCTGGATGGCCTCCCAGGTAGGGGTTGCAGAAACAAAGACTTCATTCTCGGCTAACTTGAACAAGAAAGATATTTATAAAAGACTAGTTAGCACCTATAGGATATCTGGCTTCATAGCGTTGGTCTTAAGTGGCGGGACAATCAGGGGAGTGCCCAGTCCCACCTCTGTTGGTCATAGACACAGCCCTGAATTTACCAGTAGGTCACCCTGCATCTGCTAGACAGCTGGATGTTTGCATCACTCCTTCTAACTTCAAATGACACTCACACAGCTCCCTATATTTTCTCTTCTAAACAGAGGCTTAGGCAGGAGCATCTGTTCCCTGAGTTGGGCCATGCGGTTCTTTCTTTACCAGGAAGGTTGGACATACAGTGTTGCCTTCTACCATGTGTGGGGGTGATGTGGGGATGGGCAGCAAGATTCGTCAAGTGTGGTATAAGTCCCATGAAATGAAATTATTCCAGATCATCTACAGCAGCCAACACAACTCTCACAGGTCTAAACATGGTTCTTCATGTAGCATAAACCAACTCCCCCAACATCTGGTTTACATTTTAATTTGTAAACTAGGCATAGTGAGATTAACCACTGTAAATAATAATCAAATACACAATTATAATAATATACGATGGGGGCTGGGAAGGTGGCTCAGTGGTAGAGCGCTTGCCTTGCATGCCTGAGGCCCTGGGTTCGATTCCTCAGCACCACATAAGCAAAAAGAAAAAAGCCGGAAGTGGTGCTGTGGCTCAAGTGGTAGAGCGCTAGCCTTGAGCTGAAGAGCTGAGGGACAGCGCCCAGGCCCAGAGTTCAGGCCCCACAACCGGACCCAAAAAAAAAAATAATATACGATGGTAAGACTTATGTAAATGTGCCTCTCTTCCCATCTCTCCTCTCACTTCCCTGTTTCTCTTCTTGTGTAGTGCACAGTGCTCACCCTGCTCACTGATATGGGTACCTGGAGTGACTAAAAGCCAACTGTGGACAGGGGAGGAGAATAGTATGTGAAGAAACAGTTAGGGAAACAGTTAGGGAAAATCCTACTCTCTGTCACTTCTGTTCTTTTGACTATTCCCTTCTCTTGCTTCAAACACAGATACACACAGACACACAGACACAGACACACAGACACAGAGGCACACATGCACACAGACACACAGACACAGACACACACACACACACACACACACACACACACACACACACACACACTATTCATCATTCTCCTGCCTGAGTTACTGAGAGCCCATTCTGGGAATTCTTCTAAGGAAGACTACCTACTCACTTGCCTGCCTTCCTCCCCAGGTGCCCCAAACAGACTCTACCTCCACCAGCAGCACCTTCAGTCCTCTGCTGGCCTGATATCACCCTCCCTAAAGATTGGTTAGAGCCTGAGATCAGAGCCAATGTTGTGTCTAGTTAACAGGCATGCCAACTGTGATGAACTAGACTATAAAGCTCTCCCAGTTAAATTAGACTTTTCTGCAAGAGCTCACCAATCTTTCCTGCTTCACAGAAATCTGAACCCATCAGCATACAAACATGTACTATTAAATCTCATGGGTAAATGAGTAGACCATAATCTTTCCTCCCAACCGTTTGTCCCATTGCGGTATCTCAGGATAAGCATAGTTTCTGCTATATCAATATGGTCTCAATTTTTCATACTTAGGAAACTGTTTTTCTGAAAACTTCTACTGGATCATTTTCTGCCTGACCAGTCTGAAAAGGACTACATTTTTGTTGCCCCAATGAATTAATTTTATCTTTTAAATGGCCCCCTGAGAAAAAGAATGTTCCTGCAAAGACAAGGGTAGGAAATTCTGGTCTATTATCTTCCTGCTCTGGGTTACTTTGGCGGTACTGCAGTAGTATAGCTTTCTCTGTGGTTTTGGAAAGTCTTGTTACATGGGCTTCCGGAAGCATCCTGCCAGTCAAGCTTCAGCAGTTGCTAAGTTGCTTAACATGATGCTAAGCTTCCATGCAAGGTCAGTTTACTTTCTCCATGCCTTTCCATTCACCATGCCTTTCGTTCCATACCATCTGAGGAGCAAAGTGGCCTTTTCTTTCCCTTCCTTCCTTCCTTCCTTCCTTCCTTCCTTCCTTCCTTCCTTCCTTCCTTCCTTCCT